CTCTCTCTCTCTCTCTCTCTCTCTCTCTCTCTTCTGCTGAAATCCTGATTCTGTCTCCTGTAATTTTAACCTACTCGTCTCTCGTTGATGATGATATTGTGAGTAACAGGTAGGTGTAAGTAACGAGGCAGAATACGAGGAGAATTAGATATGTGATATGACAGAATGAGGGAAGAAGGGAAATGAGTGACGTAAGACAAGTAGGAGGAGAGACACCTGAGCTGGTGGTTGTGACGGCCGCTCCACGTCACCTGCCCGCTGCTTGGTGCACCTGCTGTGGCTGCTTATGTCATCCACGCAACCAGCGAGCGCCTCGTGGTTGTAGGCTTGCGTGGGGTGGCGGTGAACCCGCGGAAAACCATTCAGTCAGACATGCCCATGCACACGTACGCGCTAGTACTCACACACGCACGCACATGCACACACACGGGCGAGCGCGCGCGCAGAAAGAGAGAGGCAGACAAAGGTTCAAACCAACACTTTATTTAATCCTCTTTGCGCAGACCCGATTAGAAGAGGGTGAGGACTGATGGTTGCTTTAGAAAATGCGATATTGTAAGTGGTAAATGGAAGGAAAAATAAGCCACATTATAAGAGTTTAGGGGCACTAAGTGGAAAGAAGAGTGACCACCATGCTATCGGAATAGTGAATGCAACTGATATGCAATTACCTGTAGTAAAAATATGCAAATGCACAACTAGAAATATTTCGTTCGTCAGAGGAAATTTCACAAGATCATCGATTTGCTGAGAAATAAAATCTCGCTCCTGAAGGACGGCAGATGAATGGGACGCCCCAGGAACACAAGATGGCGGTGCCATTTTTCTCAAATTTGTAAAAAGTACTTGGAAATGGTCACGTAATATCTCTGTTTAATGAACGACCCTACGTAATGGAACAGTGGAAAGCTATAAAAGTTCGAGGCAGCAAAAAGAGGAAATTGTAAAAAGGAAAATGTTTTCAACACTAGCCATGTGTGAAATGGTGGTTCAAGAAAAATTCCAAGAATACGAGGTGGAATGGCGTTCCCAAAGGTTAACAGAGGAACACCCCTTTTTAGGCATAAGCCACGACCGCAAACGAAGGGAAAACGGACGGTAAAGGACACGAGCAAATTGCAGGGCGACAAGAGCTTATTTCATTGTGATTAGAGAATGACTCGCGGGGCGTCCAAGGTTTTCGGCATCGTAAGAGGAACCAGTTCATGCGCATCCTTCATTCCATGGCTGGTAGGGAGGGAAGGAGACGGGAGACGGACGTTCAAACATCGAGAGAGTCCGATTGATGATTTTTGTGCGGCGTGATTTTATCCAGCGTATAAATAGCAGTAGGTAATAAGCAGCTTTTCTCTGTGATAGGTGCCACTGGAAAATATATATGCATATATATATGTGTGTGTGTGTGCGTCTCTCTCTATTTGTGTCTGTTTGTGTGTGTGTGTGTTTATCTCCGTTTACACGGGAAGGACAATATCTTTACCGTGAAAACTACTTTCTTTTAGCTCTGTTCTTTGTTTTATTCGGATGCAGTATAACGCAATAGGCCCATGTTTCTGTAAATTTATTCCTCACAGACCGTTCAAGGTCGCTACTGTGTGTGATGCTCGTCGCCCCGGACAAGTGGCACTCGGGTATCACACGCGAGGGGGCGAGCAACCCTTATTAGAGCCAGTATGAGAAGTGTGGCATGCCCGCGCGCCGTGGGCAAAGGCACCGAACCAGGGGCAGTTCGCGATCCCGGCCGCTTGGCGTGCGGAACCGAGAGTCTCAGCGGCCGGCGGATGAGGCGGCTGGGCGGCCTCGGCGTGACTGCCGGCCTGTGTCTTCGTTCGGTCTCATGGCCAGATGGGCGTCCGTCTTGGGAATGGAGGTTTTCCTGTTGGCCAGACATTTCTGAGCTGATCGGCGAGTCTGAGCAGTTTAATCGCTGCAATGTCATTTCCAAGTTCAGACACAGCATGGGTAAGATTCGTTTCGGTCAGAGTTAGCTTGAAGACCGAATGTGTAACTGATATACGTCATATTATATACATTGTTACGCACTGTGGTGTGGGGAGGGGGGAGCTGCTACAGGATACCAGCTCAGAATTTGTGGTCGAGATTGTGACCCCCCCCCTCCCCCCCAATCACTTCTCTCCTCTCCCTCATAGCCTTCGTAGCTGCCTACCAGACCGCGGTTCCACACGAACCAAGCCGCTCCTCCGCCCCTTTGCCCTCCCTCGCCCTGCTTAGCTTTCCTCGCCACGAGTGACCTCTCTCAGCTCAAGTACATACATACGTACAACCATACTTGCAAACAGCCATACATCCACTCACATGCTAACATTCACACACACACGCAAGCACACAGATTGGATAGCACTACCCTCGCCGCCGCTGAGGGTCGTATTGTGGAGGGGAAGGTAGAGACGGGGGAGAGGAGAGAGCTCACGTGATGGGCCTTCACGTGTAGAGGGAAGTATGGTGGCGGTGCTGTTGACTCGCTCAGCTGACCAGGCGGGGAGGGGAGGGGCCGAGGGAGATGGAGACAGGGGAGGGGTTACTGGTATGCTGGCGGTGTCGGCAAGGTGAAGTGTTCGCTTAGTTCGCACTTTCTTGGGTGCTTGTTGCTCATTAGGTGAAGCATAGCATGTCGGACTCACCCTGTATGTATATATTATATATATATATATATATATATATATATATATATATTATATATATATATTTATATATATATTATATATATAAATGTGTGTGTGATTTCTCTATCTTGTCACACCCTGTCTCCTCTTTCCTAGTTAATGAATCTGTATCTCTGCCTTGTGTACGTGTCTGTGTATTCCTGCAAGCCAGTGTAACAGGACTACCGATGACCCTCATTCGTGTGCGAGTGTTGGCATCTTGGTGAGCACAGGATTTCCCTCGCTCACGGCTTGTCCTGCGGCCTTAGTCCTTTGCCGCAGAGGAGGAAACCATGACTCGTGTTGCGTGTGGGCCTAGTGTGAAGTTTGCGGTAAAGGGGAGTGGAATGGAGTAAAGGGAGCGGGGCGGGGTGTTGGGAGCGGTGGCATCATGAGCGGCTGGCTGGTGCACTTGTCCGGCTGCCAGACACGATATTGGCAACAGCTCGGTGTTGCCTTTTCGTACCCTGAATCCACTGCTGCCGTATACTTTCTCTTCGCCATTTTTTATTAGAATTCGTCTGTGTTCGTTTTTTATATTTTGATCCTTGTCTTGCAATGTTATGGCACAGATTTGCGTCTACGAAGAAGTGGTGTGCGCTGGAAAAATATCTGGGAAATTATAAAGGATGATCTTTGCAAAATGATACTCTATTACATATTTTAAAGAAAATCCAGCACCTGGTAAGAGAGGCTGTAAGTGCGACAGACGACGATCGTAAGCTTAAACTGGTGTGCATCCGAGAGATAGAAAGCATAAGACAGGTCGTAAGGTACCTCTTGTGCTTTAAATGTGGGCCGCATATGGCAGCAGCCACGTGTGCCTGTTACGTAAACAAGTGGTGTTGCCACCACGTGCGCGCGCATAGCTCCGCCCACTCGCTTCCTCCACACGTGGGATCCCCCCAGTCCCTCAGACACTCCCTCCTTCGCCCAAGGCTCCTCCCCTGCTGACGACGGAGGGTTCACGCGTGTGTGGGCTGGATTGGGGTGGGAGGATGGGCAGCCTGACAGGCCCCAAGATCCAGCTGAGGTTCTCGAGGTAAAGAACCTCCCCCTGCCTCCTATACCCTCTGGCCCCGCCTCCCGAGGAATGAGGTGCAAGGCTTGAGGTCCTCGCCACCTGACTTGTTGTGCAGGAGGAGAGTAGGAGGAGCCGGGGCGCGGGAGAGATGAGGTGAGGATGGAGGGAATTCGGCGCCTGTCCTTGAGACGGTGCGTGGGGACGTTGCTGACTGCTCGTAACGGTATTAGAGGAACTTCAACTTCGTCGTCACAGCTGGCAGATCGCTCCGGACCCTAGCGTGCTGTGGCTGACGTGGAAACGCACGCACGCAAATTTATGCATGCAGACAAGCCTGTATCCACGTGCTCTCGCACAAACACCTGTATCGCATTGTATAGAGGGCTGGGTTCATTTATTGTTTATTACCCGAGACAAGAACATTTATGAGGAAAAACAACTCATTCATTTTCGCTTTCGGTATTATTCAGATCATGTTCATGTACTGTTCATTTCTAACGACAGAATTCGAGGATATGTTTACACATATATGTTAAGGAACATTCGTGTGGTCTTGTGTGTTGTGTGTGAGAGAGAGAGAGAGAGAGAGAGAGAGGAGAGAGAGAGAGAGAGAGAGAGGAGAGAGAGAGAGAGAGAGAGAGAGAGAGAGAGCAGTCTCATCATGTGCATTCCTTGCTCCATTGCAGATGAGGAGGCGAGCGAGGAGGCCGTGGCCGAGGGCGGAGTGAAGCGAGAGGTGCTGTATCGGCGGGCGGGCGAACCCTTCACTCGCTCTGTGGGCGTGACCACTGGGGGCAGCCACCCTCGCCACCATCACCAGCAACAAAACGCCCACGCTGGTGTGGCCCCTGTGTCGCCGCCGCCCACACCTCGCACCGCCCTTCCAGTCCAGCAGCCATGCCCGCGACGACCTCGCCCACCAGCGGCGATTCACACGTTAACGCCGCCGAGTGCAGGTGTGTCGTGGGCGGGGTGTGAGGACTTCGCTAGGCATCGTCGGCATCAGTGTGGGCGGAGGGCAGCAACAGCATCATCCACACCATCTTCAGCATCACCAGCAGACGCAGCAGCAACCGCAGCAGCCGCAGCCACAGCAGCAGCAGCAGCATCCCCAGCATCCCCACCAAAACCAGCACCAGCACCAGCAGACGTCCCCGCGGGCGTCGCTTTCGTACCCTGGTTCCCCGGCCGCGTCCCCGCCCCATGCCGTCACCCCCCGCACCAGTGCCGCCTCGCCCCTCGGCCTGGTGAGTGCTTTCCGTCAGGATTCCTCATCGCCGCCCACGTCCACCACCTCCTCCTCCGACGCCGGCGTGGCTCCACGGCCTCACAACGACGCCCTCCATCCCCACCTGACCAACGGCGTGAGTCGGCCCAACGGCCTCGCCAAATCCCTTTCGCTCTCCCCGCCCTCACACAGCACCTTCCAGCATCACGGCCTATACGCCGCCGAGGAAAACCTCTATAAGGACGACAAGAAACGCTCAGGGTAGGTCGTGTAGCCTGTGTCTTTCGGTCTTTACGTTTATATTATATCTCTCATGGATATAGGAGTTTCAGCTTCACAACACTGACACCTTAATTAACTGACCCTAATTACCTGTTGTTCCAGGAGCACCCCATCCCGCGAGGTGCACAATAAACTGGAGAAGAATAGGCGCGCTCATCTCAAGGAATGCTTCGAGACCCTGCGACGCCAGTTGCCCTCCATGGATGATAAAAAGATCTCTAACCAGACCATACTGAAGGCCGCTCACCGATACATCCAGGTACGGTTGTTGGAAAGTGATATGGCTCTTTGTATGTACCTAGAGTAGCATGCTAAATGAGACCACGCGTGGGAAGGGCTGGCGCTCGGGAGCTACATACTAGATTGGGGAAATGAGACAGTGGCGTAGGTCATGATGTTCCGAAAACATCTTCGTCACGTTACTACGGGAACGCGTAGCCACCTTGTGATGCAAGGTGGTGACGTCATACTGGTATTGATTTGACCTAAGTTGTCCGCTGTCGACACCTGCTCTTTCGCCACCTCGCGAGCAAGAGGAGGGGTTGAAGGGGAGAGGGAAGAGAGGGGAAGGGTAGAGAGAGGAGGAGTGAAGGGGAAGGGGAAAGGGAAAGGAAAAGGAAAAGGGAAAGGTAGGAAATGAAGAGAAGGGGGCATCAAGGCGAGAGGTTAATGACCTCAATCACATTACCACTAGACATTTAAAGAGACTATGCAAAGACAGATATGGTGGTTTTCCATATGTTGAAGCTAAGAAGACAATTTCAGGAAACATTGATTTCCTAGTGTCTCAAACTAGATACCTCAGTAGTTATGGTTATCGCAAATAAGTATAATCTTGTGCAGACACATTTAATTTCTGTCTTTAATGGCTTTCAGAATCTGAAAAGAAAGGAGCGGGAGTATGAGCATGAGATGGAGCGTCTTGCGCGGGAGAAGATTGCTCATCAACAGAACCTGGCGACTCTGAAGAAAGAGTTGTCAGCTCGCTGGGACCATATTGATTTCAGTACCCTCCTGCCTGATGCAGCGTCCCTTGACCAGCACCGCGATAAGGAGACCAAGTCCACAACCACTGCATCCGAGCAGCCAGACCTGGATGAAGAGGCTGCAAGGGATGCAGGCACACAGGCCTCTCCGAGCACCTCCAGTGACCCTCCCTCCTCGTTATCCCCACGTCTGCACATTAACCAATCTCAGGGGGCTCCAAGCTTTACAACCATTGAAACCACAAATATAAATGGCCTCGGTGCTGCTGGTCCCAGAGATAACTTTGCAGATCCTAATCAGCCATTGAACCTATCGACCAGCATGGTTGATTCAGCCAGAGCCTCTCCTCGGAACCAGCAGGCGGTAAATCAGGCAAGGTCTCCACTCCACAATGGCGAGTGGGGTGCCCGCCAGGCATCTCCGCATTATGGCCAAGCTCATTATGATGCCACCACCAGTACCCAGGAGGAGGTGTGGGTGACACATGCTGTTACAACTATGACACCTACAGTCACACGAGATACCGTCACCACCGCACATAGTGAACACCTTCCCATCATAGGCAACACTGGGATCCACCTGCCAGCACAGCTGGTTGCTGGTGGAATGCAGCTGAATGGTGCTCCAGGGGGACTACTAGGGCAGACAGCCATCCAGGTCATCACGCCAGAAGGCTACAAATTGTTACCTGCTGACCACGCGCCCAATGGCTCTAAACCCCTCACTATCACTATCACTCTGGCGCACCCTGGTAAGTTTATTTCACATCAGGGTTGAGTATAGTTTGCATGTATGGGTTCGTGGTCAGCAATGTGGGTTTGTTCTACTTTTACTATACAATTAAGTTTAAGGATAAAACAAACAAAGCTTTCTGATTATCCTAAAACTGTACAAATCTGATTACAGCCGAAGGCCTGGATAGGACAGATAATGCAGAGGAGGTCAAAACAAGTGCAGGCCCCATGATGGTGGCCCTGAACAAGAATGGCGTGTCTGCTCTACACCTGGCTGTCCCCACAACAGCCCGGTCACTCAATCAGTCACAGGGTAAGCATTTTTCATACATTTTCATCTTAACCTTTTGTGCATGGTTACATTTACTGCCCATTATGATTTTTTTTTTTGCATACAGATGGCTCTGCAAGTGCTCAGCCCCCAAGGAGTATGAGACCTCACCTTATTTCCCTGTTCCTTGATTTTTTTCTAATGCTATTAATATTTATATCAATAATTCTTCCTTTTCATTGACATGATTATTATGATATTTAAAGGGAAAGGGTGAGAGGTTGAACTAGTAGTTGACACCTTGGTGTCTAAGTACTTATGTAGCCATTTGTGTGTAAACAGTTAATAAACTGAAATCACAAAAGACATAGCATGTATGTCATGCCACCCCATCACAAAGGTTTAAATAACAAAAATCATAAGGTGAAATTTAGTAAGTGAAAATGCATATCATTCATGAAGTAAAATGGTCCTTCTCTCTTCTAGGCACTAATGGAACAGTAACAACAGTGCCACTGAATCTGAGTGTCGGAGGGACAGCAACGGTGAAGGTTAGCCAGGCAGCCACATCCTCCCTCATACCATCTTATCTCCCAATTACCCATGCCAATGGTAAGTTTATTTTGTCAAGGACCCATCAATTAAATGGAATTGATTTGTATTAGTGTAATAATAAAACGTTTTTAGGCAATTTTGTGTGATGTTTAGCTTTCGTTTCTCTGAGGAAACTGATTTGCCAGATATTGTGCACTAATTTGAGTTATTTAAATTTAGAAAGTTTTTTATATGGGGGCTTTGTTTGTTGTGCCTGTTTACACTTTCTCAAAAATCTTGAGATGATTAAAGATGTCACTAATTACTTTGCAGGTATCACGCAGTTGGTGTCTGGTCTCAGTAGCAACATGGGAACACTGGTGCCTGGGATAGGTACACCTCTAGTTGCACCACTGGTTGTCTCACAGCCTCAGCGTGCTGTGGTACCATGCAATGTCACAACTGTTGGAACCAAGGGCTTAAAAGCAACTGCAGTAGGAGGAAATGCAACAAGTGTTCCACTGGTACCAGCACAGTATGCCACCTCTTTGACAGGAGGTGCCCTGGGCGGATTAGTGAAGCCTGTTGTAGTTGTGTCTGCACCAGCGGCAGTAGCAGGAATGATGGCTGGAGCTCACACTGTAGCCTCCGGCAAGCCCTGATGTGCACCAAGTGGAGACAATCCCAGGAGAGTACAAGCCATACCTCAGCTGTGGGCCACACGCGAGGCAGCCAGTCTCTACTCTAGCTCACATTCACACCCACTCATTGTTCATCATCATTAATTGTTATCATGAGAAACTAGTACATATTTTCATGTTTATTTTTATGTGAGATCTAACTTGTCATTGTGGCAAGTTTCTCTGTGTACATTTTCATTACCAGTGATGTCTAAGATCATAAGGATATCTGAACTAGTTATTCTTAATTTTAAAAAATTTTATTAGGAAATTATTTTATAAGGTGGCCAGCCTAGAATCTAGGTTGGACCAGGAATTGTGTGGTATTGAAGGTGACTTAAGGCCAGAACTGATTCCCAGATCTGGCCAGGCCACCAAACTGTGATAGTGGTTCATCTAGAGACCCTTTTTCTTTGAGGGTTTCTAGATAGGACTCCATTATGCTAGTGTACGCTCACTGCTCAACATGGCACGAGCTGCCATATATGTGTTGCGATCACTGGTGTATATAGCATCACCCACCTGGTTGTTGGTGTTATTGTTATCTACCCTTGTTGTACTATCTTGAATATGTAATGTGTATGTATGCCTTTTTGACCAAATGATCCTTTCAAAGGTGACTAAATGTTACTGTGGCTCCCCCTGTTGCTCTGCATACAAAGTATTGTAGAGTGTTTTGATTGCTGACAGTGATGACACCCCACTCAGGGTGACGCCGTTTCCCCCTTCCTCAGACCTGCCGCCCACCTTACACCAAATGCCCCAAGTGTACAAATTCATCTGGTATTCAGTTGTTACATAAGAGTGTATTGGCTGCAACATACTGTACCATGTGTTTTGTGTCACTGGGCGGCAGTCCTGTGCCAGATCTCAGGGTTGACGGGGGTCTTGGCCCCTGCTCACCTCAGTGCAAACAAGCCATACCCAAACCCTCTTAATTGATAGTAAAATGTTTCAAATGTC